ATAGATCCATAGAACTGAAAATTTCTAATTTCTAGTTTAATAAATTGTAATAAGAAATAAACACTAAAGAGTAACCTAAAACAAGGCTTTATTAAACTAGAACGACACATGAACTGACAAGAGACTTGGACAGTAGCACACTAAATCAATGTTGTGAACACATTCTCACGAGGTTACACAAACATAAACAAATAGTAACTATTTCACCACACTTACTTAATACACACCTGACCTATATATACACATTATATTGAACTGTGCAATAATAGAAAAAAATTCTGAAACAAAATCCTAATTACAATTCAACACTTCACAAATAAACACTTGGTTTCATGGACCTGGCATAAAAAGTTCTAATTAAGAACTGACTTGGTCTCCAGTGCATGCTGTCACGGGTGTTTTGCTCCCATTTTCTTTTTTTTTTTTTTGTTGTTATTTTTGTTCATATGATTTTTGTCATTGTTTTTATTTCAATCTGTTTTTCATGTTCCCCAACAGGATCCCATTGCGTCTGAAGGAACATCTAGCTCAGAAGCAAAAGTATCAGTGACTTCCCCTATGTTAGCAATCATTCCCATCTCTCCCAGCAAAGACACTAAGCTTAATTCTGCTTTCTCCCAGCCCCATCCTTACCCTGTTAGCATTTGGCCTAAAAAGAAGGGGAGGGCAAAGCTTAGCTCAAAGTAAAGGTACCAGGCTAAGTCTATTTTCACATTTCCTTGGTCAAGACCAGTCACAATTATATTTAGCCATTTTACCAGTAACAATAGTTAGCCTTAACAAACGTAGATTAAAAAAACAATCTGAAAACATTTGCTAACATAGGTTATTTAATGAGGAAAAAAAAACAGTTTGGCTTTGTGTATGATCTTTCAGAAGTTGTAAGATTGTGACTAGTTGATTTTTGTTTTGAAATTTGACTTTATTTTGAAGAAAACTAACTTTGATTCAGTACACCAACTCAGGAAATACAGAAACTTGTTGCCATCTTTGCTTGTATTGAACACCAAAATACCATATAAATGCCTTTCAAAATGTTTGTCATACTGCCATTGAAACCTAACTGTATTCTGTTTCTAGTCTGATTAGTTGTCATGGTGAATTACATACAAGTAAAGATGGCATGTTACACAATAACAATAATTTAATCATTGCATTGCAGTTTAACTTCCTACATCATTTGCTGTTCTTATTTGTTCTATTCACTAGCTGTTGAACTAATTTTTGTTTTTAATACGGATACACATAAATGTTATTTGATTTACTGCTTATGTTTATTTGTTTAAAATGATTAAATGAAACCTTAGCCAGTAAAATATATTGTCACAAACTTTATGTAGAAACTTAAAAGGTTGATCATTGCCTTAACTATGATGTATGATAAAGTATACTCTTTGAAAATTTAATTGGTGGTTTATTGATTAGCAGGCTGTTTCTAGTATAGTGACCTTAATTTGTCAGTTCTCCTTCAAAATGCTAAGATGCTAAACTCTCTCTCTGCTAACCTAAGCCTCCCCCTCCCCCACTATATTTTTCATTTTTAGTGCTGGTAGAACTCTAACTTAATTGTTATGCTAGGGCACTCTGTTTTGTTGCATTATATATATATACAAGTGTAAGAAATGATTGTACCTATTTGGTTTGGTGAATAATCTTAAACAGAACATGTTTAAGAGAATTGATTGCAAAGAACGTAAAATAATAAAGGGCCAAATGTATTTCTAATGATCACTTTCTGGGCAAAATATTTACTACCAAGCCTAAAAAAAAAGCAGTAAGTTTAATCATCAGATCACAAAAAAAAAAATCTTTAAGAAAAAAAAGACTCCTATTGCCAAAATTTTAATAATCCATTATAAAACAATCCAGTTTTAGCCTGCCATTAATTCTTTGTTTTATTTGTTTCGTTAATATTTTATGTTTAATTTTTATTTTGTTTAATTTTACAGCCCCATCAGGGTCACCAACATTCCATATTTGGTATGGGAATGTACAGTTGATCTAAAAGAAAGACATCTTCAGAAAAAGAAACAAGACTGGCCCTGAGCTATTCTTTGAATAGTCCCACTGGTGCTTGTAGACCCCCTCCAGCTTACTGTCTCAAGTTGCTCTCCAACCATCGTCTTAACATTTGTTCATTAGTACAAGTTTTTAAATATCATTTGAACTTTGCATCATTTCACTTCTAGTTATTTAGTCAGCATTATCCAATGCCTTCCTTAGTTTAGTTGAAATAATAATGGTTTGCTAGATAGTAATTAGACTTTTCAATGTTGTACATGAGACCAGTACATAGAAAGGATATGGGGGCTATTTTAGAGAGCTACTGATCGCAAAGGTACTAGTGTCAAATGCTAGTCTAGTTGGTGTACATTTTAGAAATGTATTCTTTCCAGTGCTACATGGTATTGCTAGAGACAGAATGGTTGGGATAGAATGGTTATCTGACACAATTAAAGACAGATGGTATGTGACTTCATTTTGCTCCTGACACTGGTTCAGGCAGAATACCTAGATCCATACATGGTGACCTGACACCATTTAAAATAGAATAGGTATATGCCTCTGGTTTAGACAGATTGAGTACCTGAGACCGGTTGAAACAAAATGAGTACCTGTTCCAGTATGGACAAAATGAGTACTTGGCTTTTTGGTTTTGGACAGTAAGAGAAGCACTGCCGGTTTGGACAGGATGAATGTTAAGCCTGTTGGTAAAAACTTTTCTTTGGCTCAAAGGAGTGTGTATCATTATTTGGAGACCTTTGGGCAGTTTGTCATTGTAATGGCCAAATATTTTGCTATAATTGGTAACTTCTCCCAGCCTCTTCAAACATTTCACTTGGATAGATCTAGGGAGATCTTGATCATGTCTATCAACATTAGATAGGATGTTCAAAAGGTTATTTCAAATTCTAATCTAGCTGGCAAAGATTTAATTGACTCCCAGACTCTCTCTCCCCTCCATTTGTGGAAAAATGTTGGGTCATTTGGTGCTACCTAAACTTAGAATCAGCTGCTCTCCAAAGTCTGAATACAATGTTCAATGCATAATGAAAGATACAGGCACAGATTATTTTTCCAAAGGAAATCTGTAATGGTGGTCAGTAATCAGTACTTCCATGTCTGTAATTGGTTAGAGAAGAGCACTCTTTTGAGCTGAATGACACTATCCCACCTTGTCCTGACATGTGTGAGCTATGAATACAACACATATCTGTGAATGGTTTGTGTCATAAACTAATATATGTCAACAATGACAAACTGATGGTCGTAATGTCCTGGGTTTATTTATTTCAATATTTTTAATGTATTGTTTTTAACTAAGATTCAATGGTTTGACGTAATGGCCACATAAAAGCAGATAGATATTTTTATGCCTTGATCTAAGATTTGATTTAGTGACAAGTCTGGGTGTGAATGTTTTCAAATGCTGCTCGGATCTTTCGCTTGACCGTAGTCCCTTGGATGTCTGAGTGGATGCTTTATATTTTATAAATAAGAACTTTGCTCAATTCTTTAGCAGACATCTTTTTTATTCTGTAAATTATTTTTAGATTATTATTATAACTTTTATTATTACAACTATTTTTTAAATTGTTCATTACCTCATGATAAAATGCTAAACTGACATAGTGACATTGATTAGTTTGGCTTGGAAAGAAATGATTCATTTTAACACGAGCCTGTTCAACCAAGTGCCCTGGGCATCTTTAGGTCATACAGTACTGTTTATATTCTAGTGAATGAGCTAGCCTTCTTGTATAAGGTGTTTTTTTTTTAAGATTTGTATTATTTTTGCTGGTACTATTTATTTATTCCGTTGTATGGTCAAATAAAAGTTATTTATTAATTCTATTGTATGGTTAATATAAGTTATTTATTCTTCTGATAGAAAACATAATGGCTGGGTGTCAGTTTGTCTGTGCATGAAGCTATGTTTAGTCAGGTATTCTTTGAATCACATTGTAACTGATACACTGTCAGCTTATAAAGATATTGACTTGATTGTATTTAATTTATTTTTTAGCACCAACACATCAGCCTCATTGCCTCCCCTCTCCTCCCTCCCCAACACAAACTCACACAAATTGATAACAATTCTGACAAATGGCATTTTTTTTTCTTTCAAATCTTCTGTGGCAGCATAAATAACCATCTAGCTGTACAGGCCAAATGGCATAAACCATCAAAGACTTGTATATTATCATGATTCACCATTGATAAACAATAAAGTCAGGTTCGACTATTTCAACTGACATGTCTGCTTATATTCTCAAGTTGCTCTTACATTATTTATTTGAATTGAATGGTCAGTATGTTTTAACAGCAGACTGTATTACGCACAATAGTTTGATTAGATCTACATAGATGTCATTATTTATTGCCTTTATATTTGACCAGCCAGTGAATGTTTCAACACAAGTTTTTACATCCTAAAATCTGCATGGACCTATATTTTTAAAGTTTTAGGGCAATGCTTATTACAAATTTTTCTATAATCTACCTAGATATATAGTTTGTGGTATTTTAATGCCCTAATTTGTGAATGAATCTGTGAAAATGTTGCTTTTATTGGAACACATGAAAATCACCAAATAATAAACTTTTGAATGACTGGTTGCTAGAACATTTTTAATTGAGGGGAAAAGAGGCAATCAGCACAACATTTGAGATTTTCTGTTTGCTTGAATTCATCACAGAAACTGATCTAAAGCCGATTGCACACCTTCAATTGTTTCCTCCACTTTGAAATGACAAATTAACTTATTGGTTAGAGATTTGATGAACTCTTGTTCTACTGTTTTAGCAGCAGAGAGTGAAGTTGAACTCTCTCTTGCTCATTGTAACCTGTTGTAAATAGATGTAAATAAGTCCACTCATTGAAATGGAACCTACTAAAAGTGGACACATGGTATGAGAGTGCCCCCCCCCCCACTTTATTTGATCTCATTTTCTTAATATTAAGCCATAGGAGTCTTTTCCAAAATATTTTGGTTGACTCCCCCCCCCCCCCCCCCCTACTGCATGTGGATAGGATTTAGTGCAGCGACTAACTGATCTGTATTTCAATTCATTCTATTTGTACTGTTATGTTCAATGTCATGTGACAATTTATGAATATATGGTAGGTGAGTGCCTCTAGATAATTTGAGGGAATCTCTAGTGTTACTCTATAAAAATATTTCTATTATTTATTAAATCAAAGTAGGTTTTAGTTTGAAAGCTATCTCCTTGTTAATAGAGAAGACAGTATGTGTGTGTCCAAACACTTCTCGTACAGTTTGTAGATTTCTCTTGAAACTTTGTACAGCATGACCTTCACCTCAACTGTGCATCACTTTGTTTTGAAATGTATTGTTTCAAAATCACGTTTATAAAATTGAAAAATTTAAGGTAGAATTTCTATAATGATACATTTGTAATCAGAAACTAATCAATTATTTCTGTAGGCTCTACTTGCTCTGTGTCATTCAAAATAAAATGTTTCAATGCCTATCACTGTACTTTTTTTTTTTTTTTTACCATGACATTTTTCTTGTTTTTTTTTTGTTTTTGAGGTGAACGAAAATAAAATATGTATATCTTAAAAATGTTTGTTTTTCATTGAGACTCAGAACATGTAGGGACATTGCCCAATAGGATATCAATGTGATTGTGCAGTGCTTGTCTTTACAAACCAGCCTGTGTTAAGATTCAAAGCTCACACCAAGAACAGATCAGACAAAACTTAAGTAAATAGTTTTATCTTTAATAAGAAAACAAAATAAAACATAAGAATGTAGAGTTTATACAAATGTTTCAAGCTTGCAACTAGTAATGTGATACCAAAACATGTCAAGACAATCTGATTGTTAGGACAGAACTTCTATTGTTGGAACAAATTAATAACAAAAAGTTATGTTCAAAAGTTACTTGTAACATATCTAGAATATTTAATATCCAATTCAGGAGTAATTTGTCAATATACAAAGTAAACACATTTTTGTACACATTAAGTCTAAACAACTTAGGAGCAGCAAATTGCGATCATTTCTGTAGAAATGGTGAAAATATTTTATTGATTAAAAAGTGTTTGTCGCCATAAGAAACAAAAAAGTCTAAAAACTGTTATGTAGGGGAAAGATTGTGAGGTACATAGCAGTTTACAGTTAAGACAATTCTAATGCCCATTTTAGTAAAATGTGCATCTAATTATGTCTGTCAATGTCTAAGAGTTAAAATGGTTGGTAACTAGCTGGATATCGTATACAGGCCGTCTTCTCTAAATACTCCTGGCAATGTTTCCAATCAAGTTTCTTGTAGAGCTAAAATAGAAAATACGTTTACTAATTATACAAGTAACAAAAAAAGTTGTTTTTTTTAAAGACAATTCCTCCTTTTAGTAAAAGCAATTAATTTTCTCTTAATATGACAATATTAGACGACAGTAGTCTGGATCTAGATATATGGTATAGAACATTCTAGTTTGGTGATTGGCTTATAGATCCAGATTTGGATGTGGAATGTCTATGTTATATTTAACTAAGAGTACATGTATGTGTATGTTCAATACATAGATTGTCTAGACTGTGGTCCACGACCCCAGGGTCCAAAAGATAACCATAGAGGTCTGCAGAAAGATAAAAATGATTTCTTCACTAAAAGCAACTTTATCTGATTGGACAATTTGAATAAAATCAAAATTCCCCTGTAAAAATCCTGTATATAAATACTAGAATTAATAAAAATTCTAATGATAGGCCTGTAGATCCAGACTTATAATATGGTGTGCATAATTCCTGAACATCTATTAATTTATTCAACTCTTTAATGAATGTGGAAATACCCAAAGTCATAGTCTGTTTTAGTTAAAGACTGTCTCTAGCCATATTTAAATTAATTTTTTTACTTTGAAAAATTATAACGGTCAAACTAGAGTTTTCCCAGTGTGGCAAAAAAGAAATTCTAATCCCAAAGCTATACATTGTATGTCAAATTTTTCAGAAAATCATTAAAGACATTTTTGAGAACCATGTCCGACTACCCTGGTTTCTTAGCCCATGAATTTGCAAGCTGAATAAAGGAATTGTCAAGAATTGTTCATAAAAAGATTTGTTTCCTGGGATACAGTTTTAATATCATAACTCTGTCAACATCTTGATCACCTAGTCCTTGTTACACTTACTTCTAAAACTTTCTCCTCTAGATCCTTGCTGTGGCGTTCATCTTGTTGTTTCATCAATATTTTAAGAGCTCTACCATATTGTGATAGGACCACAGCATGACGCCAGGCAAAGGTAAATGTTTGCTATAATAAACACAAAATGAATGAATTACAAAGCATACTTTATGTTCAGCTAATATAGATCAATCAGTAAGTGATATCAAATAGTAAGCCAATCAATACATATATTTATATTAATAAATGCATGTCTGCAAAGAAATCAAAACTGTATGACCTATCTTGATGAAACTTGGCATGAATGTTTCTTAGATAATAGCCATGATCTTAAGATATTAACGTAACCCTATCACAAAATGTGGACCCTAAAAATTAAAAATAAATGCCTAAATCTATAGACTCACTAGACTTGACCTATGGTTTAACAATAGCTCCATTCCTCAATATCATGCCCAGCTTACATCACTCAGTCTAGTGATATTAATCAAATGTAAGGTCACAAACAAAAAAAGATATTAAAGGCATTCGGAGTGGCATGAATTTTCATTCGATGTTAGATCTAAATTGTTTAATAAAAAGAGATTTTTTTTATTTACGTTAATTTTAATAGCTAAGAATCGCTAAATTTTTGACATCTTAGAGTCTCAACATACAAACTGTGTAGGGCTGCCTGTGCTAGAGTACAACAATACATTGTCAATGACAATGTGCCATCTTGCTCTAGAAATATAATGCACATCTTTTGAATGGCAGAAACTAGATCTGTTCCTTTTTATTTTCCAAAAGATAACTTTTCAGTTTTATATGTGAACGAACAAAAATAATTGAGATTTAGATCTAGATTCTATTATAAAATCTTTTTTCTTTTAAATCTCTACAATTATAATGTAGCATCATGGATCCATGATTAGAGTTAGAGCTAATAGATTTAGACTGTTCTAGACCAAGACATGGAAAAGTTTATTGTACAAAGTTTTCATATGATATAGATCAAAATTTAGAGATCTTAAGCTAGATTCTGTGTTTGATTTGAACTTATATTATCTATGTTCATTTAATTAGGTTTTAATTAAATAGAACATAAGCTCAAAACATTCTTGATGAAGCCCCACTTCTTCATTTAATACTCAAGCATTTTAAAGATGTTTTTACAAAGATTAAAACAGCAAAGAAGTCTTTTATAATATAGCAAAAAAACAAACAGAATGACAAAATCTAAGCCAAGCCAGGTAAAAACATAGCTGGTCATTATATGTATCAATCATTCACTGATATTTGGGAATTGTTTTTTTTTCCAAAGTATCCACCCTTTTGTCTATGAAATACATAATGACTTTGACTGTAAAATCATCAACAATATGTTTAAAGTGATTTACAATATGGCAGTAATCTGAAAGGGGGGTCTACAGTCTGGCTTGTTATTTGTACTAGTTACATACTGACCTTGTTATCAGTGACATCCACCCATTTACTGAGTTCACTATAGGTCTGGTTCACATCCTCACTAGTAATACTGTCAGAGAACTTTTGAAGGACAATTTCTGCTTGGGCCAACCCAATTTTCACAAGAATGTCAATCAGCCAGGACTTTTTCTTTTCCATGTCACTGAAAGTTAAAACAAAAATTCAGATTCTAAAGAAAATCTAAAAATCTGAAATAAAAAAAAGAACTTTTAAAGCAAGACTGCAATGTTGTAGCCACACTGCCCAAGCAATGCTTTTCAGCTTCATTGTGGAACTTGGGTGGAAACAGTCGTCAGAAGAGACAATGCAGCCAATAGGGAAGTAAAAAGAACTATCGTTGGGGTGCAGAGTCCATTGCAATGGCGGGGATGGAAAAAAGCCTTAACAAATGTCAGTATCCACACACTGTTCTTCAAGGGGCCATTTTTTATGGCGGGCACCTGGATGGCTGATGTGGTACAGAGAAAGAATATGGGAGATTTTCCATGATGTGCTCGGCTATCTGCCTCATTTCTAATCCAAGCTACCTGGGATATGAGCCATCAGTAATAGGAATGTAATAATTTACATGTGCTTGGAACTTTCCCAGACAGAAATTTATTTCAGACAGGAAGACAGAAGCAAGCTTCCATAGGATTACAGTGCCAAGAGTCAGACTCAACACTTATGACAATTACGAAGTACCCACACTGCAATGTTGTAAACACAGAGAAAAACAAACTTAGAATATTTCTCTAGCATTAGTCTGTCATTAAGTAAGTACAAAATACTAATGTGAACCTGCTATGCCCCCCTGATTAACATTTTAGTCCACAAATTTACCATCCCATTTTAATTTATTGGTCACATGCATGATGACATGATTTGGTTTTGCTAAGGATTTGAGAATAACTCCTGGAGGCACACACGTGGAGTGTGGTAGAGTATTGAGATTTGAGGGAGTTTTTATCATTCTATGTGAATTTATTAAATTATTGTTCTAGTTAATTCTTTGAGATTATTAATTCACTATATCGGACAAAAATATTTGATTGTGTAGCAATATTCAGAGTAAGAGCGACGACCAGAAATTTGGTGAGTTCCTATGTACCAAACATCATCACTGGTCTTTGGTAACAAAACAAAGAAAAATGAAGACTGGTTTGAAGCAAGTCTGCAAGAAATGGAAACTGCCACTAAAAGCAAGAGAGTAGCCATGCTAAACTACAAGAAGGAGCCCACCCCTAGCAACTTACAAGCTCTCAGATCTACTCGAAATGATGCCCAAAGAATAGCAAGACAGTGCGCAAACAAATACTGGCAGGACCTATGTGAAAACATCCAATCTTGTGCCGACTGTGGTAACATCAGAGGACTATACGAGGGCATGAAAAAAGCCTTTGGACCTCACACCAGCAAGTGTGCCCCACTTAAGTCAAAAGATGGCTCAATCATCACTGATTGTGCACTGCAAATGGAACGATGGGTAGAACACTATACAGAACTTTACCAGATTGAAAATGCCATCTCGACAACTGCTTTGTCTAACTTCCCACCACTTTCAGTTTTGAGTGAATTAGATGAAACACCTTCTGTAAAGGAACTGAGCACAGCCATTGACATGCTTGCACACGGGAAAGCACCCAGAGGAGATGGTATTCCTGCTGAAGTCATTTAGGCTGGGAAGCATGCCCTAATCAAGCCACTCCATGAACTGCTAAGTCTATGCTGGGAGCAAGGAATAGTCCCCCAAGAATTGAAGGATGCCAACATAGTAACGATTTACAAAAATAAGGGTGACCGCACAGATTGT